CTCTCCAGGGGTGGAAGAACCCAAGGCAGAAATCCAGATCCACAGCTTTGTGCAGGTTTCCCTGCCTGCTCGCATTTCCCCCTCTCACTCAAAAAGCCCACTGTCTCTCTCTAGGGGAGCATCATCTCCCTAGCTACTTTGATCCAAGTCCACTTATCTAACTCAGTGTGCAGATCTATTTCTGGCTGCCGCCAGGCTGCATGGTGTGCACTCATGTGTGCCAACACACACAAATATGTTAAGCCGCATTCATTTCTTAGGATCCGAGACCAGCCAGTTCTAAGGGCCTACGCGAAACGTAAATAAGACATCCGAAGTCAATAAAAATCTCTTTACTCAGTTAAGTGCTAATTTCAGCGACACAAGGCAATTGATAAAAGGACCGGATGTGTCCGGCTTCTCTGCCCGCTAAGCCAAGCCAAAGTGCAAAATCTGGCCACCTTCAGCGTGCGCGCATCTGCTGCTTGCAAATAAATAAATAAATAAATAAGGAGCAGTTCTGCGGCATCCTCAAGACTAACAGGAAGTAATTCCAGCACCAGGTTTCATGGACCGGAGCCAGCTTCTCCAGACCGATGAGTGAATCCTCACATTGCCTTTGGGTTTTGTTTTTTTTAATCAGAGGCTTTTTGCGGGAGGGAAGGGGCAGGGCGAAGGGCTCACGAAATGCAAGCAGGGCACAGAGCCATGCAATCCCGCAGCATCCAGACCTACACAGGAGTCAAGGGGGAGAGACCCTTCCTTAGTTCTGCAAAGCTGGTTAACACCTGCAGTGAGGTGGGGAGTTGGCAGTCATAGGGCTGAGAATGAAAGGGGGAAAAGAAGAAGAAGAAGAAGAAGAAGAAGAAGAAGAAGAAGAAGAAGAAGAAGAAGAAGAAGAAGAAGAGATTGGATTTATACCCCGCCCTTCACTTGGAGTCTCAGAGCGGCTTACAAACTCCTTTCCCTCCCCCTCTCCACAACAGACACCCTGTGCGGTGGGTGGGGCTGAGAGAACTTTGACACAAACTGCTCTTTTTCAAGGACAGCTGTGCCAGAGCTTGAGGACTGACCCAAGGTCACATCAGCAGGTGCAAGTGGAGGAGTGGGGACTCAAACCCGGTTCTCCCAGATTAGAGTCCGCACACTTAACCACTACACCAAACTGGCTACACCAAAGAGGGGGGAAATACGAATGAAGAATCTGTGCACATGGTTAAAAATATGAAAA